CCTTTTTAACAAGATTAACAATGATTCTTTTATTAAACTATATATCTTTTATAGTCCTGCGGTATTAGATCGAGAAACACAATCGCTTCATCCAACATTTGTCGAATATATCGATGGTGCCCGTTTGTATCTAGAGAACGAAACCGATAAAGAAGCGCCTGCAGTTCGTGATATTAAATTGCATTTCTGTAATTTCATAAGAAAAATGATCAAGAGTTTTTCACGTAAGCATTTCATATATATGAAAATATTTATAATAAATATTTTGACTAATTCATTCCAATTCATTTCTTGTATTTTAGTGGAAACATGTCATACATTGTTAAAAAGGGACTTAAGACGGAATTTATTTATGCTATTTGCTAGTTGGTCAGGCCCCTATGGAAAACCGCTCGTAAATACATCTTCGCTCCACGAAGAAGAAAAATCATATACAGAGTTACAACTTTCAGCGCTACAAGCTATGAGCGGATTATTATGCTGCGGTCCTTGTTTCAATCCCCAATCACTTTCAGAAGAAGGAGCAATACTTTATCAGTGGCTAGATTTATTACTGGCAAGCAAAGACGAAAAAGTAAACTTAACAAAATATATGTTTAATATAGATACTCTCGAAGATTTTACATATTAAAAAAATATTTCAGATCTATGCTCTTGCTCGAGAAACAGTAGTTTTGTTATTAGAATGCAATCCCGATATTGGAACACTCCTTGATTGGATAGTTGATCGATGTTACACTGGTGCTCCACAAGTCGCTGATGGTTGTTTCCTTGCTTTAGCGACAATTTTTAGTGCAAGGTTAATTATTACACATTTAATCATTGAAATACTTCAAATTATGAAAAATTTATTTTTAAACATATCAAATTATAAGAGAGTATAAAAAGATTTGGTCTTTCCTTTAGTATAAGGATAATTATATAAATATAACAAGTATATCTAATGTTTATAGAGAGTATCCTTGTGATCATTACACAAGCATCATCAATGTTACTTTAATGAGTACGGGTTGTCCACGTGCCCCTGTTCATGATGCAGCTCTCCAACTTCTTCAATTGTTGGATCAAAGATTTTTCGGAAATGTGGGCCCTCTTCCAGCTACAGAACCAGAGACCAGTAAGTTTACAAAATTTGTTCGTTCATTTCATCTTCCTAACGAAAAGTCAATATTACATTTACATTTTCGTAATATCATTAAGTCTTAAATAATTGTAACATGCTTTACTCTTACATTTAATTCATGATGAAATTTTTCCGATGGCTCTGTAAATACAATCGCATGTCGACGTGTTGTTCCTACAGTAGACCGTGCGAAACTTGGAACTATAGAATAAATATGATCTTCATGAATCAATTAATAGTATCTATAAGAATTGATTATCAAGATTGACTTTGTATATACGTACCATTTTGCTTTCCTTGATCCGTTATAGTTACACTTCTGTTACGAAAGCGTCTTAAAAACACGCATCGTATTGCTGTACGAAAATTTTGTCCCGTTGCGCAATACAAAATAAAATTGATTCCAAAGTTAGTATTAAATAACAGATTACAAACTTGTTGCGTCAATTCCACTGATCTGGGTACGTTATTTTCTTCCTGAAACTATGTTTTATACAGTACTAATGGCGTCACACTAACATTTAGACGCTAAATGTTTTAATTCTTCTTGCTTGTACGTACATGTGAGAAAGCATGAATTCTTAAAACGTACGCAGGTAGATTAAAACAAAGAAAAACACTAGAAACAACCAGCAACATCTTAGTGGTCTTAGTCTGCGCGAAATTGTGACGGAAACTTTGGGCATACGATTGTCTCTCTTTCATGATACACGGTTCATTGGTCAGAGATTTTCTAATTTTAATATGTCTATAGATAGCTCGTGCAATCAACAGATTCAGGATAATGATCACGGTGAACGGTATCGCAAATGTGAATACCGTGTCAATCACGTTGTAAACAATCGCCCAAGACTCCAGCCCTTCCGCCAAATGGCACTCAGTTACGTTTCCCTTTTCATTGAATTGTAATCGCGGCGCTGAAAACCATAAAACCGGACTACACAGTATAAGCCCCAATATGATCAATATAATGACCGTCAATTTTGCTCTGGCCACTGTACACATTGACTGGCGATACAATGGATATTGCACGGCAATAAATCTCTCGACGGTGAATGCCACCACGAGCCAAACGCTCATGAAGCTGCAGAGGGTCGTTAAGTAGATGAAAAATTGGCAGAAACCCGGCTTATTGAACAGGCCAACTTCTACCATATTCAGCCAAACCACAAAAACAGATACCAAGAAACCGGTATCGCTTATCGCTAATGCACCGAGGTAAATGCTCGAGGAATATTGGCAGAGCTTCGTTCCAAAAAACACGATTACCGAAAGGCAATTGCCCAGTGATCCAAAGTAGACGAGGATCGGGGTGTAATATAATTGGACGCTACGTAATATGCTTTCTGTTAAATCGAGCTCCACGAGATCTCTTTGCGCGTGTACCATTTTCGTAAGATGATTTTAAACAAGGGGGGGTGATCTCGATCGTATGCAGGATGCGTTACGGTGACGCGTAATGCTCGAAAATATTTTTATGCTTTCATTTTCCATCAACTAACATCTCACAGATGCAAATACATCTTAGTATGTTTTTTTTTTTTTTTTTTAGAAAGATACGTCGCAGTATTTTAAATGAAGAAATAACACGAAAATATCGTTTAGAAAAGATCCGGATGTCGAATGTTTTCTTGTACTTTATCATGATCGTAAAAGAGTAATCTTCGTAGCAGCAACATACTTTTAATCCACCGAGATGAATTATTTTTTACAGTTAGTGATACATTTCTTTTTTAGCATTTCGGGACAATCTATCGAATTTCACATTACAAACAGAAGCGTGCGATATTTGTTTTACGTTCCATGAAAAACTATATTGGAATATTGCCAAATATTCTTGACGTCTTCAAAGATTCACGAAGAAATGTATGTCACTTACATAGGATTCACTATGATTTCAAGTTAGAAAATTTAGGAGAAATTTAAATTACCATTAAACGAAACATTCAGTTCCAGCTTTTGAAACTTCTCGTATAAACTATAATACATTTGATATCTCAATCCTTTGAGCTGATGTATTTTATTTTTATTTTATTTTATTTTATATAGTAAATAAAATTTTTTACTTTTTTTAATTAATTCAATATTCTATTATTTTATATTATTTTATGTAATGGAAAACACAACTCTTTTATAAACTAAACAATTTTTACTTATTATGTTTAATCTTAATTAAAGTTATAATAGGAACATCATTTTAAATGCACTTTTTTAAATGTTTGACCGCTTCTTTTATGCATTATTTATATTAAAAGTATTTATCGCCGATACGTTAAAATTGTTTATTTAAAAAAAAAACTTTTCCGAATAATGAGCAGAGTGTTAAGAAGTATACATCGAGATGCCGGCTCAACTATTTCTGCATAGTGCACCGGCAACCGTTCTTGATAAAGTCCAATCCGTCTAGCTTCTGCGCACCAAGCCGAAATACAAATACTCACATTTCATATGAAATATTTTGTAAAAGGACAATCATATTTATTATAAAATGCAAAGTTATATAATGGTATAGATATTATATAATTTCTAATTTCAATTGCAAAAAAATGCTATTTTAGTTACACCTTATAATACATTTATACTTATTAATTTATGCAATTTAATTTCTTTAATCTCTAAAATAGACTCCAAATTGCTTATAAAATACGCGATTAAAAAGGATTGTGGGATAGATTCCAAAAATATTTTTTAGGATTATATTATCAATGAGGCTACATTGGGTATTAGTTTTCCATTTTCACAAATATATCATAATTATTACTATAGGTATAGCATTTAAATTAATTTCAAAGTTACATTAATATGAGTCATTATCCTTAATAATTCCATCGTTTCTTGTTTCAGGTCAGGATGATCCTGTTGGTGGTTCATCAACTACAGCTACTTCTGCACCAGGACAACAAAGTAATCCTATCGGCGGAATATCCTCAAATGGTACAATTAGGGGTGGCACTCTTGATGTACTTTTATCAACCACATATTGTCGTAATCAAATGTATCTTTCTCGTCAACTTGCTCAACTTCATCCGGAATTGACGATGCCCATGTTTAGTGGTAAGTTTCTGTTTCGTCATGGTAGAAATGATTCTTAACAAAAATTCTAGCTACGTTATAATTAGTATTAATTTCATGAATTAATACTAATTAAATTAATGAAATATTGATAATGAATACATAGCTTTAAAAAAAATGATTTATTTATTTCTTTGCTGAATAATTTGTTATTTTAATTAGTTGTTATCATCAT